GGTCAGGACAGATCAGGGGGGAGATACCATCAACAACCCCACCCTAAGAGATTGGGTACCTTGTGTATCCACCAGGGGGAGCAGTGTGGCTGCTTTATCTGGTCTTTAAGTCTGACTTCATCAGCTGTTTCTGTGTCCAAACTCTGCTTCAGCTCCCAAAGTCAAACGAACACTGTGGCATCACTGAGAGTTAAAAACTGTTTAAATTCATCTGTAATAAAATGATCAGCGTTGCTGCTTTACCAGGTGTAACAATTAAGTTTAACATCCATGAAAACAGGATTTATTACATTTAACGGAGTTAGAAGTTAGCAAGCAAGCAATTTATTTATATAGCACTTTCAGAACAACTACCAGCTGAACACCAAGTGCTGTACGCTTGACATGCCAGAAATGATACACAGAATAAGTTAAAAAAATAAAATAAAGTTAGCAGGAAGTTAGCTCGCTAGTTTGCACCTAGACATGATATAGCATGTTCTGACTGAGAGATTTCTGAAACAATTAAAACGTACAGCTCTGCTATCACTTCCAACATAAATGAAGACAGAAAACTAAACAGCAGTGACGTTTGGATTACTGAAGTTGGGCTAGCTGGTATATAATGTTGTGCTACGTGATTGCTAGCTACACAGCGAACATTTTTCTTGTAAAACAAAGGGGGGCACAGCAAAAACAAGATAGAAAACATGAAAACATGTTAAAAACACAACAGCCTTAATAAAGACTGAAGCAGGGTTCATGTCATCACTTAAAGACCAGATACTGTGTAGTCGTACTGTTCAGGGATTCTATAATTATGATGGAGTCATTATGTTCAACCCTGTTTCATGAGCAGGCCAGCTGCTCTCACATCCCCACAGACTACTATTTAAACTATGCAATCAAAAAATTATTAACAACTGGTGGAAGCTTTTTAAGACTGACAATGAATAAATAAACACAACACATGAGTCAACAATTTTAAGGGCAACTTTCACAGACAGGTAAGACAGCACAGTCATTAGCATCATGTCAGTGTTGTCTATTGACCAGCGATCGACGACGGTGGTGTGAAGAAGTGTTAGCCCCCACCCTGATTTACTCCTTTATTGTCTGTTTGTCACACTTGAATGTTTCAGATCATCAAACAAATTTAATGTTAGACAAAAATATTACAAACTGCATTTTGTGTTTACTTATGTCGTCTTTGTCTAATATTTAAATTTGTTTGATGATCTGAAACATTTAACTGTGACAAACACACCACTGTGTCTGTTCT